CAAAACTTGGGCCCAATTCTAATAGCGAGCGCGCATTCTTAGGTATTGTTATGCCCCCAATCACGGTGACCCTAGGTTTTCTTGGTGCATTATCAACCCCATTTTGACTATTATCAGAAACGTAAGGAATTCGTTTGCGGTTGTTTCTTGAAGCTGAGACGTGTGAATTACCCAAAAGATTTTCGAATTTCCGTTGTAAGGTTATTTTGGCATTAGATCTAATAATATCGCATACCAATATTGACCCACCAACTATCCTCCTCCAAAGGCGATCCTCCAAATACAAAGCACAAAAATGTTCCTTCGTTGCACACTTCTTCATTCTGGCAAACATCTCATTCTGCTTGCTTCGGAGTGCAGCTCGAAGTAGTTCCATTTCGATGCCTCGTACTTGTTGGCTGCCCTTTGGTTGACCGCATATCTCGTGAAGTCGCTTTCGTTTTATAAACTTCGGCACGACTCGATGTTAAAAACAGCGGCGGAGGAAGTTGATTTGCTGTCTAGCTAAGACGATCTTTTGTCTTAGTGGCAATGCTTCCTTCACAAGTCGAAAGTATTTTGCTGGTACATCTTGTAATAGTTCCCAGGATCGACTTTCTCTTAACCTCGGCATTGGAATATGAATGTGTCGTTTTCTTGTTCAGCAATCGCGAAGTTTTTAAACAGCATACATTTCCTTCCATAAAAACACAATACAATACAACGCTTGCTGACGTTTCGGCAGTTGATTATGATTCCAGATTGCAGTCATCTGCTGAGTAAGAATCATCTTGTGCTTAATCCATTTCATCACCTATAGAATATGTTTGGTTCGAATTCATTGTTGTTCCCCGACAATAACCTTAACTTAATCACAATGTTGCTGAGATATTTACAAAACTCAGGACCGCTGGTGTCAGCGGTGGGGACCGAACCCGCTATTACCCTTTCTGGCGACTAACGCGTTCACCACCACACCAGGCGTCTCCTTCGTTTCGCCTTCCTCTCATCTAATTTTGTATCTAGCAGTGCCGTAAGCAATCAAAAACTACTCGAAAGAAAGGCGAAACGGAAAAACACAAGCCTTAACTTATTTGATTTCATATTATTAACGAAATATCCAAGGTACAAGTGAAAAGCTGCTTAGTTCTAATTAGGCCAGGTTTTCGAGTAGTATAATTTCTATGTTGTCTTTGATTTTCTTGCGCATTGGCCGCCCACCGGATCCAAATTCATTGATATTCAAACCGATTTTTCCACGTATTTTATAGAACAAACCTTGACATTTTAATTAGTTTCGGGGACAACGTTTGAGTTCAAGTTCTTTCAAGTTCAAGTTTTTTTTCGTCGGTAACGTCTGTCGAGAGTGCGAAGAACTCGATTCGAGTCGTCGGCTCTTAGGAGGACGAAGAAGTCGAAACGTTAGCCGAATAAAATTTTTTACCAGCCTCGTGTAAGCTCAACAATTTAGGCACATGTTGATCATTCATACCGAGATAAAAGGAGAGTCGGTCTTTGAAATATGAAGTTTTGAAGTCGCTACTGTTTGGATGGTGCTGTTTCAAACAGTCCTTAGGGCCCTATGTTGGTTCTACGCGAAGACTGCTGGTAGTTCCTTCATAACATGAGCAGTTTGAAACGTTGTCAGCTTGAAGACGAGGCTTTTCCCCTATCCATTTAAGTGTCTACAGTCCTTTAAAATTGTTGTTTGATTTTCAAAGTTGTTTAGAATTAAAATTTCCCAAAGAAATGACGAAGAATCGAATATGTGAAATACCAGTCGTTTAATAATCCGGTTAATCCAAAATTCTTTATTGCCCATTTCAGAATATGATGAACATTAGAATGGGGCAGGATGGGTATGGAAATCGATGGCGGGGAGTTATACCATCTTCACTTTGCTGATGAAATCGTTTTATAACACCAAGCATAGCCAGGCGGAACGAATCCAAACCAACTTCGGTGAAACTGATGGAAAGATTGATCTTATCCTAAATCTCATCAAAACGGTGTCCATGAAGAACGGATTGGTTTCGTATGCTCGTATGCCCCATTCACACTCAACGGAATGGATATCCCCCGAATGATCTAGCTACAACTATATAGGTATGGCAAAAGGTCGATGGAAAAGCTGTATTTTCGTGATGCAGCTCCGATTACAGTCTGGTAGAGTTCTTTCATAGGACGGGTCCATTCTTTAGTCAATGAACACTGTTGGAGTTGAACTCGTTTCGACGCTTTTAAACGATTTTTCATGTAATGGTTAGGAGAAGACAGTTATAGGCAGTTTCATGGCCTACAAAAGTCAGGAGAAGCTGCTGGTTTTATTAACGACAAACTTATATCACGCTTGGCACGGTTTGTATGTGGTCCATTCAGAAAAATACCTATCGGAATCCTAATTCCTCAACTCGATGTATCTCATGCAGTGTTCTTGCTATGTGCGACAGGACAATCTTCGTGAATTGCTTATAGAGCACACTCAACAAGCAAATTGGGCGACAGTTACGAAGGTCCTTCCGATCGCCTTTCTTGGACAAAGTGACTGTGTGCACCGTTCTGCCCCTGTCTGTGATCTTTTCCATTTGAATGTGGAATGTTATATGCTTTTCCAGAAGTACATGTAAATTTCGGCTTCTAGCTGTGAGAAAGTCGGTACTGAACCTATTGGGTCCTGGAGTTGTCTCTCTCTTCATACCTTCTGTCACAACTCGAGCCTCGGAGGGAAGAATTCTCGATGGTTTTGCACAGCTAGGATTTCAGGGTGTGGGTCGGGGAATGTGGAACGGAAAAGGTTGAGGTATATCCTCGTTCATTGGGGATAACAGCGGAACATTGTATTCGCGCAAGTCCCGACAGCACTTTTTCAGACTGGTTCTTTTTGTGCTGCTTCAAACAGTTTCTTTTGCTAGCACCGATGTATATCTTTCTGCCAAGATCTTCTGCAGTTGGCATTTAATACTTGCGGTGTTAATTGTATTGCACTGAGATCGAGCTGCTGTTCCTTTTTCTTCTAGAGCAGCTCAGTAGTAGTGGAAGTGCGATCCGGTATTCATGCTTGAGGACTGCGGCCACTTCGGCACAACTGCTAAGTCCTTTGACAGGCAATTCGTAGTCTTCATTCGGGTCTTCGTTAAAATTTCCTGTCACGTTTGGATAGGATTTTGTTCAAAATGTTCTCATCATATACAGCTTAACTTTTCTTCTTGATCGATGCATGAATTCCTCTCGAGCTTACGGGTGAATCGAACCATCTAGCGAAGAATGATGGGACTACCGATTTGTTAAGTAGGCACCATCTTCGCTTATTAAGGATATAGCTAGCATCTGCAAGTGTCGTACTGACTGGAAGAATGAGTTCACATGGGAGAAGCGTTCTGCAGACAGGAGTCCTGCAAGACGGTTTCTGTTCTTATTTTTTTCTCCTAATCCAAATTTGTTGGTCCTGTATTCACTCTCATTGGCCTTTGCTATTGTGGCATTAAAGTCTCCGACAAGAAATTTATAATACAATTTATCATTACGGATAACATTCTGCAGCTGATAGTAGGACACATCTAATTCATACTTATCGGCTGCATCGGTCGGTGAGTGGCAGTTGGTGACAGTGATCTTCTTATGACGCGTTGGTTCAAGACGAAGAAGTGCCATGCCACTTAAAGGGATCTTGTACAAGTCTACAAGATGGGTAGTGGACGGGTGGACTCCAAAGTCTACGTCACCGACATTTCGTGACGAAATCTTTTCTCCGCGGATGATAAGGGTACCAGTGTTTAGTGGGCATATGTCGGTTTTGTTGATTTTTGTTTCTTGTAGTGCGGTCACATGAAATTTAATGCGATCTGCGGCTACAAGAAGAGCGTGAAGACTGGCGTCCGAGGAGAGTGTTCTGATTTCATACGTGCAGAGTTGGAAAAAAAATCTCCATGGCGTGTCGTTTGTGTGTTCGTCAGATCTGGTTCCAGCGACCTTTTGTGTGATCCGGAACTTCGTGGCTTCTCACCCGTCGTCTCACCGCCTGAGGCCATATGCGCGGGAACATCCAGAGTTCGTGGTACTGAGCCTTGCCTGTTGCTGATTGGGCAATTCGATCTCCTCCAGAGTATTTAAATAACCTTGAAAGGACGTTTTCAGGTCTTCATTAAGATGTTGATCCAAAGGAGATATTTTTTCGGCAACGATTCCTTCGTCCGGTCTTCCTACTTGTTAATTCGGACGCGATGTTTAGACCGAAATCAAAAGTAGAAATAGGAACGATAATATGACCGACCACTCAGGGACAATGTAAAAACCAAAATCACCTTTCTAATCATTTATTCCTTATTTGTTTATACTTTCTGAGAGATTTATTTTTTACTACTTTACACGACATCAAATGTATCACACTTTGCGAATCCTAACACTTCTTAACCCTTTTATTTACTGCCTTTTTCATTTTAATGGCAGGGTATGTTGTGAAATATAACTCGTATATAATGCTGAGATATTTGCAAAACTCCGGACCGCAGGTGTATGCGGTGGGGAACGAACGGGCGCTATTGTCAGTTTTCCTTCTTCGTCACGAATGTCTTTGAATGCTAGTCGAGTCAATTCTCTCTGGGGCCGTGCTAGGGCGTTCCCACCCGTATGATGATTAGTTTGCCTGTCCAGATCATTTTCTCGCGAATCTGCCTACCCTAGAGGAATGAGGAGTTTGGCTGGCCAGGAGCGAAGTCGAATCCTTGTCTGGGTAAATTCAGCCGTCCGCATAGTGAGCGGCTTACTGGGCTACTCGCTTGCTTTTCTAATTATTGCCTATTCATTATTAATGTCTTAAAGAAGAGACGCCGGTTCTTTCCATCAATTCGCCTTAAAACTCATAATCTCTTTATTCGCTAATAAATATACTTTGTTATCAAGTAACAGCCGTGATATGAATTTTAATTGAACCACTTTCATTCTACATTTTCTGTAAAAAAAGATCGTTGCCGTTTTAGATATAAAAGGATTCGCTGGACGAACCTGGTTACTAACCTATAACTATGTCGCTATCAGGGCTCCGAAAACAATTTAATAAAGCAAATCAGGTAGGAATGTAATTTGATCTCATTCATGTTGCATAGCATCTTCCACGGTGGCAGACCTCAGCAAACATATCTTTAGTACTTGTCCGAGACTATGGGTGCTGCTGAAGCAACGAAACTTGATGACCAGTACAATAATATGGAGAAGGTATGTTGTGTAGTACACCTTTACTTCCTAATTGTTTTGATGCCGTTAAAAGGTAATAAGTGTTCATTTTCGTTTTAGAATATCGATTTAACGTATGAGCTCATCAGTGCTCTCGTTGCCGGAACAAACGAGTACTTACAACCTAACCCTGGTAAGTTTTAATCCTTGCATCATTTTGCGCTGTTGTTATGCGTGCATCAAAGTTTTTGTTCAAAATATGTCTAATACTTCAATGATGCTGAGCATCATTGAAGCTATAATTCACAATGTATACCCTGCCGTTAAAAAGAGTAGGCAGTAAATAATACGTTAAATTGTGATTATGTCTAATACTCCCAATGGCCACATCGTCAGTGCACAACGGTGTTCATGGGATACGATGTGCCATGCATCATACAGAGTCATACGAGCTAGAATACGCTCATCCTTTCTATCTCAGATAGGAGTGAACTTATACCACAGACGTTCCAGCGGAAGCTCAGTACTAAGGCAAGAGATTGCTCGTGGATACACCTGACCACCCACGACGATACGTATTTTCTGTCGGTCAAACCATCTAGAAGTAAATGTACACCACGGTAGACCTTGGCGAGTCCTAGCGGTTAGTTTCTCACCATGGGTACAGATGTAGTGTGGTGTTTGTCGTGTTTGTTGTGTCCCTTTGAGAGCGAAACCTAACAGCAGATGTGGTCCGCGACAAGTGCAGATGGAGGTCTAAGTGCTGCCCGCTTTAATTACTCTTCTAATGATTGACAGAATTATTAATAGCAGGTATATTTCTAGAGAAGCAAGCAGTTCCTAAAGCGGAAAAAACCAACCCTATTTTTCTACTAGGTGGTTTCTTTAAATTATTAAACCAACAAAGAAAGCAAAACACGGAAACTCCACGTTATTCGAAAGTAAGCGCGTTCGCCCATGGAAAGCACAGATGGAAAACCCTGTCGGATTCTGTATTAACAGTTATAATACATCTGAATCAACTTTGGATAGCAAGTGCACGTTTTCCACAAAAGTCGAATCCTGGATCCAGTCAGAACGTACTTGGCAAATAAAGATGTGCTTTTTATATAAAAAGTGAAGTACATAGGTTGACAATTCAAGATTCCGGAATTATGCTATTTTTCTTTATCCATAGTACGCCTGTTAAGTTTTACTCATTTTTGACAAATTGATTCCTATCATAGAGTTTTAGTGAAATTGGTTATCCAGTGTCACGCACTCTCGTTGTCGGCTTCGTAATGTATTGTTACATCCACCAATTAAACGTATTATATTAAATTATTTATCTATCTTATGCTTCCATCCGTGTTAGTACGTCACCGGCTTTTACCTTCGATGTGTTAAAGAAGTTAATTTTTGTTTTTTAGCAACCTTTGTGTATTTATCGATGGTTCTGGGTTGACCTACTATTTATATAAAGAATTAATTACCCACGTTCGAGGTTGTCGCTGTGGACCAATTTAATACTCTTCCGACGAATAATCTCTATGGGAGTTATTTCTAAGCTCCCAGAGTGGCCGATACGATCTCCATAGGTTTCCTTTTTTTGCGGTGATTTATTTTAGCACTTAGAACTGTTTCCCTATAGTTCTTCTAATCAGTCGGTAGCTTGTGGAACATTGATATAATGCTAGGTGTTGCTCAGGAAAAGTTATATTGTGCGCTTAGAAATATACAAAGAACCGTGTTCTGAACGAGTTCAGTGACCAAACATTTGAGTGGTAATGGACTGCAGTCTCAATTCTAGTTTCCATATTGAACCATAGTTGTCGTATAGAGTGTACAGGTGTAAAAAATGGTGAAATAGAAACGTATACGTTCCGGAACACTTTCAAATGAGGACAGAATTATTTTTGTGTGATGGAACATAGTAATAAATAGCACAATATATGTCATTCATATCCGTAGAACGATAAGGCAAAGCAAAAAATAAAGGATAAGGTTGTCGGCATTGATCAGTCCCTGAGGGATGCGCCATGCATTATACTTCATTAAGCATTGTTCGGAAGTGATTGAATACATATCTGGCCTTCACAATGACTCGCGGTGGTTTACCAATGTATGAAATCAGTGTTGCTATTCACTCAGACAAGTCTGGTACCAACTTGCTGACCCTGGAGTTATGGAAGGCTTGGTGGGCCGCGGATGCGGGAATCGATTCCGTGTGTATTGCAGGGCGCATCCGATCACTGCGCTACACACGCCCTTTTTTAAGGGCAAAGTATGTTCTACAATGTTGTCATTTTCACAGCCCATCACGTTCTCTAGTTGTTGAAAAGCTCTTGTTTATTGTCAAAAAACCTACAAGCCCTTAAAAGCTGAAAATTATGCGTTTTCCGTAGCGGTAGAGTCGAGATTAGGCGTGGTCGCGACAGAGTTAAAGCATAGATGGTGAAAAATATATTCTTTATATACCCTTGATAGTGTACGGTGGACTATATCTGAAATTGCAGCAACTCGAGCAAAAATGGCAACGATGGGTGCTATTTCAAAAGTGCGCGGTACAGTTAAAGCGGAACCCTATCCACAAACTGAAGGAATGTTGTCTGAAATTATGCATAAATATGGATCTGCTCTTGGAGACTCGAGTGATCTCGGGAAGGTGAGCCGAAAGTACAGCTATACAGCATCTATGAAACACTCATCGATTTCAAGGCGCTACTCGATGCTGCTGAGGCTTATCGTCATATGGCCGACATCAAATATCAGATGGAGGAAAACGTGAAACAGAACTTCATTGATCCCCTGACACATCTGCAAAATAACGAGTTGAAAGATGTAAACGTAAGTTTCGGTTGTATAGGTTTATTACGATTGTCGTTCCAGTAAACAGTGGAAGAGTCTGAATGAAAATCAAGTTATTCCATGATTAGAGGCTGTTATTTAAACTAGAAACACGCTTTGTTAGTTCCGATGAACTCTTGGAACAATTTTCTGTGGATACTAGAGATTGGAAGTGAAGTTAGACTATCCAGGTAACTTGAGTCGTTGCAGTAACTTCGGCCACTTGTTGTTGAGGTGTTTGTGACACAAGGTGAAGATTTCCACCTTATAAGGCACTTCAGGGATTTAGAATAAGTTCCTGTTTCGCAAACTTGAGGATCATTCTTAGTTCCAACGAAACTGGTTTCCTCTAAAAGTTATTCAGTAAAGTGACTATATTGATGAGTACTAAGATGCAAATAAGCAATAAGATCACATGAATACTAGTCTTCCTTTTTTTTGAGTTGCTTAATGAACTAGAATTCTGTTCGGTATTTCATAAACTAATTGCTCAACTCATAGAAGTAGTTTCAAGATTTTAAAAACAACCACAACAATGCTAAGATATTCGCAAAACTTGGACCCGGGCGGGATCGAACCGTTTCCGGGGCTCGTCTATTAGGCGCTGCATCACGAAGGAAGTTCTAAGATTCTTTTTGAGAAAAATGACATAAGTACCGCTCTCTTTATACAGTACCTTACTATTTATCTTCACATATTTTAGCATCATCGAACAAAGCTGAAGGGACGTCGTCTGGACTATGACTGCAAAAAGCGGCAGCAACGGCGAGGTAAATGAGTTTTTTATTCATTTTTAACTAACCCATTAGTTTTTTCGGTTTATCCACACTTTTTCATATACCCTTTTAATACGAAGAATCGTTTGCTTTTTATACCTGTATTCTTTCATGTTTAGATGAGGAAATGATCCAAGCTGAGGAGAAGTTAGAGGAGTCCAAACGACTTGCTGAGATGGCAATGTTTAATGTTCTTAGCAACGATGTCAGCTTTTACATCTATATACGCCTTTTAATTGAGTATTAATTTTATAATGTCTTAATTTTTCATTTACTGCCTGTTCTTCTTTCATGGCAAGGTGCAGTGGGAAATGTAACCACAAAGATGCTGAGATAAGAGCAAAGTTCGCAACCTCGGGTGAGCTTCGAATAGGCCCTTCGTTGCCTTTCTCTCAGCCATTTCTTTTACTCTATCGTTACTATCAGCAATCACCCGTCAATGAAAATGATCTGACGAGCACAAGTCGGCATCGAACGCAGTTAAGCTGGAGCCGCAGTCGAAACCACAATGTTTTAGAGGAAGAGTAAAAGGAGCGTAGAGTAAAAATATGGCTAATAGAAAGACAGAGAGCTTCAATTGGTGTGGTAGACAGCGCGTGAACTCTCGATGATGGTACCGAGTTTCTCCCATATCTCAGCATCCTTGTGTTTATCTATGTGATAGTTTCCTTGAATAATTTTGGAGTTTAGGTGGAACAAGTTTCACAGCTGCGTGCTCTTGTCGACGCTCAGTTAGACTTTCATCGGCAAACTGTGCAAATACTTGAGGGCCTACAAGCGCAACTCGCTGTAAGGCACGTTAAATCGGTCATTTTTTCCTTTTTGACATTGGTATTTCTATGTGTTCTATGTGATTGTAGTCCCTTGAGAGTGTCCGAAATCGTTAAGATATAGCATTTTGTCCTTTTTTTTCAGATTCACACAGAGATCTCTTGAAAAATTAGTTCTCTGATCTTGTGTATGTTCTATATGTTATTGTCACTTGTTCATTTTTGTTCATTTCTAAAGGAAGTGGTCCTTTCCAGAGTGAAAGAATCGAGCTGTCGTCCTAGGGCGGAACATCATCCTCTTCCGGTACTCAGCAATAGAACTCCCCGTTCTAGGTTCGTTGCTTTTATTTTCGTGTTTATCATTTCACATTCATTATCCAGTTGTAATTTCTGTATCATCTTACTTGCGTTCATGTGTTGTTATCTGAATGAAATCTTAGTGTTGAGTCAGTTACTATTTCTTTAGATCACCTGCCACAGATAGCATATCGATGTCAGAACAATCACAAAGTGGATTTGAACATCCGCCACCTTATTCGAATGGTGGAACATCTCATACTTCTGGATCAAACACTAATATGTCGCAGACTCAACAACAAAAACCATCTGCCAAGGCTCTATTTGACTTTGAGGTGCAGAATGAAGGAGAAGTGAGCTTTTGGTGTACTGTCTTAGTTAGGACGTTTTATCAGAAACTTTTCTATTTGTTTTTGCACCTCTTATTTCAAGAATATTCTGTTACATTATTGTGATTATAATCCCATACTTCAGCTAAACCTGAAAGAAGGTCAAGTAGTCGAGCTTATCTCACAGGTGGATGAGAACTGGTTTGAGGGTCGGTTAAATGGGAAGTGTGGTCTGTTTCCGGTTTCGTACGTCCAAGTTTTAATTCCACTAAGGTAAACGGCCGTCCGTCGTCAAGTGTTCTCGCGATTCAAAAGTTTTATTCGTGCAAATTGTAATGTTAGCTCCTCTACTCCACTAAAAAAGTATACATATGTCCTTTCCTCTTAAGATTTGCCATGTCATCATTCCTGTTACCTGTGTCTATGTTCATGCAGCGTCTATGTACTGTCAGCCTAGTTTTCTAACAAATTGTGCCATGTTTTCTCGTCCTTTGCTTTAAAATTACTCATAGGTGAATGCGTATAGTAAGCAATATTTCGTAAATAGACTTTGGTAGTTTGTTTCATGTTGATTAAAGTACTACTTTGATGTTAAGAACTTTAATTAAAAGGAAGTTTTTCTTAACACGTAACGCCCGGTGCGCATCGATTTCAATGGGCGCTTTCCTCAAATTGAGAGCGCCTTTTCATTTGAACCATGTGTTTCGACTCTTAATATACTCTTTCAAATCAACAGAAACCATTAGAATTTACGGATATTTGTATATAAAATTACAATTTCTCTTACTCTACAACGGTGTCGTCTCGCTTTTCACGTAGATTTTACAAAGACTATTTGGTATACAAACACTATTGAACAGACGGGATTTTGTCTAGGATGCCATGGTTTCTTCTAGTGATCGTTAATGGTTGAAGCTGCCATGCTTGCACTGAAAAAATAAATCGCAGGCTTGAAAGCTTGGATCTTGTCCTTAATTTTTTGTGAATTGGAACCTTGAAAAAAAACGTAAAATTCAAGGAACGCTTGGGAAAATTTGCTTACATACTTCGAGGGTTAGATCGATGCCTCCTCTCAAAATGTGTTAAGTTCTCAATTCCATAAGCACTCTCGTTATCGAAGTTACCAGGGATTATTGAAAAACCATCATCGGGCATTATGTGTTAATCAATCATTCATGGGTTTACAAACGCAAGCGACCTGTGCTATGTCAAGATCTGACCACGAATTATTTACCTCTAGCAGTTACCCTGACATAGGTGTGAGTCTACTAATACATTTACTTACAATCACCCCTTTTTTTTAAACCCTTATCCTTTCGTCATGATAGTTGTTGACACTATTGAATCCTTTTTTATCCATTCAAAACATGAGTTGTCAGGTCGGAACATTTTCTAGTCTATCTCATCCCCAGCTTCGTTTTATTCTCTATAGCACATTCCTAAAAGAAAATTAAGTTTTCCATGTGTAAAAGAAAATAATTCAGTTTACTTTGGCTGGCGCTATTCCGGTCATGTTTTTTTCTGCATTTTATGTAGGGTCATTCAAAATAAACTGTTCCTAGTACATCTGTATTAACATCTACACACTTTGAAACTAAAAAGGAGATCAGTTTGAGAGATGTTGGAAATGAGCCAATATATCGATTAGGCAACAGGGCCGTTCTACCCTGGTCAAAGTATGGGTAGGGTTCTGCGTAGGTAGTCCCGAGACCGCTTCTTTGATAATAAACAATTTTGTTGTATACGCTGTTTCTGAAATTTGAATTTGAATGTGTTGGGGGTGTTCTTTCTGATAATTCTAGAGTAATCCTTATTCAAGTATTGAGCTTGTACTTGTTCATTGGCGTATTCTCTTCTAATCCAAATTGAAGTCGTTCTTGTCCAAATTGTTAAGTGTGAATCCAGTGACTGTATATCTTCCATAAACGAGTGGTCATTGTCACCGGCGATTGGATTGACTTATACGTTCCTGGCATCCGTAATCATGTCCATCCATAAATGTATGGAGGTATTTGTGTATATGCAGATTGCATTCTGTTCGTCAGTTCAAACAAAACAGCGTATCAAGTGTTTGGTTCGGCATCTTTTCGAACAAATAACAAACGATACTTACCCTGTGGACTAAGCGCTCTTAGCGAACAGCTTAGTGAGCTTCGAGGACGGTAACAAGGTGATACTCTTAAACGTCGAGAAACGAGAAGAAACATAAAAAGTTCATCCATAACCTGCAGCTCTGTAATCAAACTGCTTTGTCGCCATTCATAGCTATTGTATGTCAGACCTGTACAGATGGCTCTGCCCGAGGGAAACAACGAGATCGGCACTTACGGTGTGAGACATCTTCACTGCCTTTAGAGGTGAGATAGCCAAAGGTAGCTCAGCAGCTTTTGCTGTTGCTTACGATTACTCTTCATTAGACTTTGGATATAAACGTGAACTCATATTGCGATACACTACGCCGAGTGGCACTCATAAGCGACACTAAGGTAGAAAACGGCTAACTGACTGAAGGAAAAGTTTGTCTTAACAGACATCTGCGAAGCAATGACGTGGTATAGCTTTTACTATGCCCTTCAAAGGTAATGCAAAGGTGAGGTCAACGTGATGCAACAGACGGTAGTAGCATGCGGAACAAGACACAAATGACATAAAAAACGTATAATGGTAATAGGAAATAGAGAATGTTCCTTATGAAGTAGAGAATGGTGTCTATTTCTCTGGCGGGCACTAATTTATGACTGAACAAGCGATAAAAGGTTATTTTAAGGAGAGTAGAAAAGCACTACTGAACCTGCGAAGATTTGGAACTCCATCTAAGGTTTGTCCTTAAAGTTTGTCAATTTTACGACCAATATGGCGGCATTCCACCACGCAGGCAAAACTGTCACTACATTTGAAATGCTAATGGAGAAGATCATCTTCGAATTCTATTCCGATCTGTCAGTAATTTCTTACGATCACTGCTTATTTGTTCGCGCAGAAAAGAGCCAAGGAGAATTCGTTCTGAAGATCAGAACTACGTCCCCGACCCACCAACAAATAAACCCCAAATTTACTACAGAAGCAGCTAACAAGAACTCGTGATTATAGCAAACCTTCCACGGTGGAGTGTTGTGAACGTCCATTCACATAACTTTGCCAAAAGTGGCTTCGTTTTTGCACAAGTCGAAAGGCATAATGCTTCTCTAGTGTTCATTGAGCGAACGGCTTCTCTAGACAAAGTCTGGGCGTCGTGTGCGCAATTAAAGGTCTTATGCTCGCTAGATTCACTGAATCTCAAAGTAGATGATTAGCCTAGTGCGCACTTCATTCCTTTTATATCATCTGGTGATATAAAGAGTAATACGTTTACGATCCTTTACATGAAGGAGATAACAGAGGAAGAAAAATCATCCTATGTTTTAAGAGAATACACTAATAGGACACCAGGTAACGCTCCACGTTTATGATGTACTTGCAGATATATTAGGATTAAATACCAAAAAAATTAGCAAAAATGCCACGCGAAACACCTCTGATACACTCCACAGCAAGAGATGTCGTGAACATACGAAAAATAATCCACTTAGGACCTTTTTATCAAATAGTAAGCTAACACGAGGTTGATTTGAAAAAAGTTTATTTGGCTAACGTCTCGGCGCCTTCGTCTTCTTCAGAATCGCGTTGACCTGAGTCGACGGTCCACATCTATTCCTTCCCGCATCGAATCAAATCCAATAGAGAGAGCACCGCTCGAATGGTTAAGTTCACTCAGCCGCGTCCAAGTTAAGTTGCGGCTGTAGTTGAAATCACAATGTTATACCTTTTTATTTTCTACCTATTATCTGCAGCTTAACTGGGTTCTATGCCGATTTGGGCGCCCCAGATCAATTCTGTTGACGGGTGATTGCTGTGGCAAAGATCGATAGAAATAGCTGAGAGACAGGCGAAACGAAGGACCCGCATGGTGTGGTGGTGAACGCGTTACTCCCCGGAAAGGACAATAGCGCATTCGTTCCTCACCATAGACACCTGCGGTCCAGAGTTTTGCAAATATCTCAGCAACATTGTGGTTGTATTTCGCTTGGTACCCTGCTCTGAAATTATAATAGGCAGAAAATAAAAAGGTATATATAACATTGGTATTTCGTATCAGTAAATTCTGTAACAACAACCACATATTTGCTCTTCAAGGAGCAGTGAATTATTGATCAGTACTGGGGTTAAGAGAAAGTCGGTCTTGGGATTTACACTGATACTGTTTTACCATAGGTCTATGTGGTAACACCAAACGAATTTCATGAAGGAGAAATAAGTGTGGTGTCACTGAAACGCCACGAATAGGAAGATACGAAGTCAAAAGAGTAGACTATTTTTCTTTCGTCTTGTCTTGAAGGCTGCAGTAAATCACACCAACAGACTTAACAGATGAGTGATTGAAAATCCGAATTGTTAAGAAGTTACCTCGGTTGCTTTTACAACGCCATTCATCGGACAGTCCGAATGGATTCAGATATATCACGACTGAAGGGCGTTCTAAGGCTCGAACAACAGCCGTCCATCTTCTTTATACGGAAATTGTGCCAATCGTAAAAAACATAGGCACAAAAGAGAAGAATAAAACTGACAAAACCAACATATACCACAAAGTGATGCATGAAGACAGAAAATCTTTGAAAATACTACGGCAACGTAGTTATTCGAAGAGTCAGCTGCTGATAGCACGCACCAAAGACGGCAACATCAAGGCCATGTGTTTATCTCATTCAGATCTCTTTACACATGATGGTTATAAAGCTTCTTAGTCTTGTCTTCTGTGTACACTAACAAGTGTAACAACAGCAAATAAAAGGATAAGAAAGCTTTCGGCGTTGATCGATCGCCGTGCATTCGACTTCATTAAGCATCGTTTGAAAGCTGTTGAATGCATGTCTGGCGTGTACAATAACTCGCGGTGGCCTACCAATGTATCGAGCCAGTGCTGGTATCTTCCCAGACAAGTCTGGTACCAACTTGCCGACCCCGGGGAGAGAAGGCTTGGTGGGCCATAGGCCATGAGCATGGGGATCTATTCCACGTGTGTGTCGCAGAAGGCCTCTGACCACTGCGCCACACGTCCTTTTTTTTTAAACAAAAGCAAGTACTAATAAAAATAAAAGGTAGTAGTAGATTTTGTGCAGTAATGAAATATTTGTCTTGTGAGGTGTACTTCTAAGATTTTTAAAACTTTTATTGGTTAGAGCTTTCGAACTGGCATTATTTGTGCACATGACGTTGGACTGTCTTATGAAAAGGTAA